TAATTATTTCAAAAATAAAACCATAACTCAAAAAATTCACATGCAAAGCACGTGTGCATGATCTAGTAATGATAGAGGATACAAAGAGAAAGGAGTTAGAGCGGCAGTATTTAAGAGGATTTTCAAAGGTCTCAATTCCATTTTGCCTTTTGCATAATCCTCAATAGATGTATATAGAAGATGAAATTAAGAGAAGTAAATGAGGGGTTATAAGCCAACAAACATTACCCATGAGCAGCTCAACCGACTGAGAGATGAAAGGGTTCCGTTTTCTTGGTTGAAAAACGCAACAGCCATCAAATAATTAGGATGAGTTACTTAAATGGATTTAAGAAGTAAATAGAAACTCAAAAAAATTTTATATTTAAGCGAAAACTTTGGTTTAAGGCATAGTTGTCTTTGTAAGATTATTTAAAGACAAAATAAGAGTGTGACATTAATTCTCAAGGATAAGGATAAGCCTTTTGATTAGTGTACAAAACAGTTTACATGCGATACACATGTGTATCAATTTGTATTTAAACTAATTAACATTGATCTTGATACATTGTCAACATTGTAAGTTTGTCTATTACGATAACTTGTTAAATAAAATGGTTGCATAAAACTATTAAACATGACAATATTTGACTCCCTATCGGAATAAAATTCTAGTTCCGTCCCTATGAATATCATTATTCAATAGCATACTAATACCTAAGAGCTTGTTTGGTATCACTTTTGTTTTTGTTTTATGATTAAGTAAACAAAAAATGTAAACCAATTTTTTTTAAAAAAAAACGTTTAGCAATTTTTTTAATTTTTTATTTATTTATTTTGAATAAACATGTTGTCTACTTTTCTAAAAATCAGAAAACAAATTTTTTAATTTTTTTAACTCAAAACACAGAAAAACACTTGTTAGACCATATTCAATGGAAATCCAAACCTTGCCTAATTTACCCAAAAAAATAAATTTGTTAGCTACAACATTCCTCATGTCTAAGCAACAGTAGAACCACTTGTTTTGATCAAAAGTAACCAATGATTTTATTACTTATTTCTTTAGTTCTTTTGATGTCAAAAACATGAGGAACCCACTTCCTCCATGCCAGACAAAACTTGCGAGTCTCACATCCCAAACTGCAAGATTCTATTTTTGAGTATATTTTAAATCAGATTTTGATTTTCACTTGATTTAAAAAATTTGATTTAATTGAAATTGAGTATGACTTAAGCCATTCAACGCCACCATGAGGACCAATAAATGAGAGAAATATAAATTAATGAACCATATCCACGCGAATGGTTAGATTTGAGGTAACGGATAATTATATATATCTTTTAATAAAAAAAGAAAAATACTATATACATCAAATTTATATACTAAATCGCCGTGAGTTGTTAGATTGGTAAGCCTCACTCCCGATCAATAGCCCACATTCATTTGGTACACAAATTTAATATAATTTTTTGGTGTACCAAGTTCAAGGATAATTCAAATAATTTTGAATTTAAATTTTAATAATATTTTAAAGTTAAATCACAAACAATTTATTCTTATAAATATCCCAATCAAAATGTGGGTAAGCTTAGCCAAATATCCTTGTCTGCCGAGACAACTTTTTTTCGTTTTTGTTGGTGTACTCGATAAAGAGGATCGGTTTCCACCGTACATTGACCGTCAATCTCTGCACACAACTCGGATCTAAGTCAAGAACTTCTCCCAAAAAATTGTATAAATGCGAGGGTTAATTATAAATTGTATTCTGATAAATTGTTTGAATTTTAATTTTTACTATCAAAAATTAAAAATTTTAATTTAAACCTTCAAAGATAAAAAATTATATTAATGTGTACCCCAAAGATAAAAAATCTCAATTTGTACTCTCAAAAATATAATTTCGTATCAATGTGTCCTCCCAAAGATCAAAATTTTCAATTTGTATCTTCAAAAATAAAAATTTGTATCAATGTGGACCTAAAACTAATTGCCCTCAATTTGTTGCCTGAAAATTAAATTGATAAATTATACCTAAATCCTCTCATGCTTGTCACTTAATTATTTGAAGCCTTTCACAAAATAAAGGATAATATAAAATTATAATTTTTTATTAGGATAAAATCATATTTTTAACGGTTATAAAATCTTAATAAAAATACTCTCAATTTAAAATGTCCCCCCAATTAGACATTCAAATAATTATGTTTACTTTAAATATTGCATTGGATATAAAAAATATTATATAAATACCTACATTCTATTAGATATTCAAATTATAAGCTTGATTTTAAACTTTAGAATAAATCGGACCCACAAAAAAAAGAGTAATATGAAAGTATAATTTTTTATTAGAATAAAATCATATTTTTTAACGGTTATATTAACAGATATCAACTAAAAAGGGTTACATGTTATATTTGTACAAACGTCATGAGATGTATGAGTAATATTTTAAATATGAAGTGGTCCAAATGATTAAGTGACAAGTATGAGGGGATTTAGATATAATTTATTAATTTAATTTTAGGTAGCAAACTGACGGCGGTTAGTTTTAGGTGCACATTGATACAAATTTTTATTTTTGAAGGTACAAATTGAGATTTTTGATTTTTAGGGGTGTACATTGATACAAATTTCTATCTTTGAGGGTAAAAATTGAGATTTTTAATCTTTGGGAGTACACATTGATATAAATTTTTATCTTTGAGTATATAAATTAAGATTTTTTATTTTTGGAGTATAATTTAAAAATCGAATGATTTTTCATGGTACAACTTATAATTAACCAAATACAAATACTGTACACTCAACGTGGCAAAGTCCAGATGATTGAGACCTGAGAGAGAGTTACACTCCTAGCTTTACGGAACACGGACGGGTTTTCAACCTTCCATAGAAGACCAATGGCCCACGGAAGATCAAAAACCCAAAAAAACAGAGAAAAAGGAAGTGTTGTTTTGGTTTTTTTTTCTTTTCTGACCAGTGGTTCTTGGAGGACATCATGAACGTTCATAGTTTCATGTCTCTCCGTTGCCTCAGGTTGTTCACAACATAAAAAAATTCATCATATTTGTTCCTGTTTTCTGAAGAATTAAATGTGTGTATGTGTATATATATATTTTATGTATATAGAGTTCATGATGTTACTTCATTTCTTACCATAAATAATGCTGATTAACAATATGTTGATTTGCCCGTCTGCATTCTAAATGTACAAATGGGTTTTACCATTAATTTGAGTTTGGGTTCTTTTCTGGGTTTTTTTTTCGTTTTGTGGAATTAATTTAACATTGGTTTTGTGACACTTCTCATAGTCCTTCAAGATTGAGTTTGTAATGAACATGGTAAGCTGCATATGGGACATGCAAAAACTGACACAATCGTTCTCGAGTGAGGATAATGGACGAATGGTTGTGTCAGGTTGCTCACAATCAACGTAAAACTTGTCGGACCCAAGATAAGTTGGAAGAATATTTTTCTTAGGTTGAATTGAGTTAGGTTGAGTTATGCTAAAACTGTGATGCCCTTTTTTCTGATTAGCCAATTTGTGGATACAATCATTTTTCGATGGCATCATCAACTCCCTTTCATGAAGTTTATGTTGTGTAATGCCTATGTTGCTTCCATTTTCCATTCCAAATTTTGCACTCAACCCAGAAGCTTATCAATCTGGCTTAGGAAATATGCAGCATTTGATGCTCTTCTAATCTCATTATTGTTTGTAATATTATATATTAGATTGTGTCATTTAGTAGTCACCTTTCTTATTCTTTTCATGCCAGTACAGAACAAATGCAATTTCAGACACTTCTAATGAAGATTTATAGCTGTCTTTTTTTTTTTTTAGGAATTCCGGTTTATTGTTACTCCGAAAATCTAGTTATGTCCTTGCAATCTTTTGCAGTCACTGTCAAGTTAATAATCATAAGAAGTTTTTCGGTCTCTTGAAGCCTGGGTGTGTTTATTTGCAGCCGTGAATGAGTATTATTAAGGAGACTGTGGATTATATCAGGTACAAATGAAAATAAACGTAGAAGCTAATTATGCAATACAAAAAGAGCATCACCTACAGCCAGTTTCAGAGTGATGCTTGCCCCTTAGAATATGGAATTTAAGTATAGAAGTGTGATTCACATTGTGATAGATTTTAAAGCTGTTAATTTGCAATGGAAAATCACACTCAATGGAGTTGAATGCTAGGAAAAGAATATCTCAAATCTTCTAGTAATACTCAGATATGAGATGGGGATGCTGATGTCCACAAATTAAATTACTGAGAGATAAGATAAGGAATTAGTGTACTGCTGAAACAGTGAAGAGTAATATCCTCTACTTTCTTAGGCCATGAACTATGCACTTACGATAGTAGTACGAGGAAAATTCTCGATTTTCCATGCACAAAATATAGGCTATGTCTATGGTAGGGAGAAGTCACACTGGGATGCCTTTAAAAGTATTGGTTTGATGATCTCGTGAATGGGGTCTGTTTAAATTCCCTGATGCTCTATTAAAGGCATTGGAAATGTGAGTCTCATTAGTTTGAAGAGCCATCAACATAATTGCTGGCTTCTTGAAATTAGGTTTTTTCTTATCTAAACATTTCAATTTGTCATTTTATGATACTTTGGTAGAAGATTCGTGTTTTTTGTTACGAGGTTTCTATGTAAGAACAGCTACAATGCTGTCATGCCTAGTTCACCCAAACTTTATTCCAACAAGAAGGTGAATGTATATAAAATACCTGTCATTTTTCAGCAATGACATGAATCTGCATCATATATCCACTTGCATCATTGGCTTCATCTAAACATAAAACAAACTTGTAATAATTGGTATTTTGACCTTTCAGGACTGCTACCCTTATGGAGCTATGCCTTTAGATTGATATTTTTCAAAAAAATTGTTCTTGAAGTAGATTGGTTGTCTAGTGATATATGATCTCTGCATTTACCATCTTTACATAACAATGCTCTGGAAGCCAGATGCCCCACTCAAGTAAATCATAAGAAGTTCCATAATGGATGGCCAAGCAAAAGTATATGGTAGACTCAACAGGTTGGATGTATCTGGTGGTGCTGATGTTTTTGAACCTGCATCAAGCAGTAATGGTAAGGCTGAAGGAGTGGGACACTGATTTTTGTTATCGGTTGCAACTTTTACCTGTTGACTAAACCGAGAATTTCTTTTCCTTACTTGCTTTGCAGCTAAACAGAGAGAAGCTTTGGTAGAGTGGTTGAATAGCCTTCTTCCCAACTTAAGCTTGTCAATAAATGTTTCAGATGAGAAATTGAGAACTTTGTTGATTGATGGGACTGTTTTATGTCAGATTTTGAACAGGCTCAGACCGGGTTCTGTGACTGAGGTTGTTGAATGATTTTGAGCAATTATTATTTGATTTATTATTGATCGCAGATGTAATGACTGTGCTCTTACTATATTTTCTGTCCTAGTGTGATGACTCGAACCGTACTTCAGAGTCGCACTCAGAAAGCTTAAAAAGGTTTCTGGCAGCAATGGATGAAATGGGGTTGCCCAGATTTCAAGTCTCAGACCTAGAAAAGGTAGCCAATGTTTTTGTGAAACAGTGGTTCTCCTCATGAATTAATCATATATTAATGAACACATGTTAGCTTGGCAGCAAGGAAACTTCAGAATTTATATGTCATCAAGTTGAGCTCAGTACATAAAACATTGTTGAAATAACTATGGCTGACATATGTAAACAAGTTTTCCCTGTTGTATTTGCCAGTATGCACGTGTATTTAATAATGAAGAGTCATTTTAATAAGCTTTATACTTTTGCCAAGTGCAAGTGTCTTCTGCTTCTTTTCTCCCTCATACATTCCCTTTTAAATTATCCAGGGATCCATGAAAATCGTTCTAGAGTGCCTTTTAACAATTAGAGCGCAATTTATGCCAAATGGTGGGGGATATAGTGTTCCAAACACTAGTTCTCCAAAAACATCTGGAGGTGATGCTAGTATGAGCTGGAAATCCTTAGTAGAGCATATTGGAGGTGGCGATGGTTCTCCACGGGGAGAATCTTCTCGGTCATATCTTTCTGCACTATGCGGAGAAGAGAGGCGCAAGAGTCTTTCAGAATCTAAATTTCAACATGCTTTGCGCAGCCCTGTAAAGGCAGGTATGGTTGCTCTCTCTCTCCCTTTCTCCTCCCGCTGGATGTGGGTTATCCCTGCCCACAGGGAGTTTAATTTCTTTGCATAGTTCAGTTGGATTGACTCATAAAAAGGAAAACTATTGTGGAATGAGCCTTGCATGACTATACTTCCAGAATGACATTCCATCAAATTAGATTAAACATGCCACCTCAATTTTAAGGAGGATTGCAAACATTTTCGTCTCCAAGTAGACCACAGTGGAGTTGTAAAATCAACGACTGTAAAAATAGGAACACATAATTCTGGAGCTTGCTCTCTGTTCCAGCTTGTAGTTTTCCAATATCAGACAATGCCAAATTAGCTTATCAAGTTCTCGTTTTGTTTGGTTTCCTGAACTCTGAATTCTATTTTATCTATCATGTTCTTAATGTTTGATGCATTTTACCCCATCCGTAGAGCCATCTGCTGCATTAATACATCATGTTGGACACAAGTTCCATGAAGTTTTTCAGCTGAAACAAGGATGCTATGCAGATCTTCCCGCTTCAAAGATTACAGAAATGATGAAATCGAATAGTTTGGATGTATGTTGATAAGTCTTGATTTAGAATTATACATACCTTATCAGTTTGTGCTTTTTTTTTAGGTATTTCAATGTTTCTTATGTGCAGAATGCCCCAACTCAGTCGCTTTTAAGTGTTGTGAATGGAATCCTAGATGAAAGCATTGAAAGGAAGAACGTGGAAATACCTCATGTATGACAACCAGGGGACATGCTGTGTTGAATTGAAGTGTTATGTGCATATACACGCTCTTATGTAATTTCATTGCTTTCTTTCCCCAGCGTGTGGCATGCCTTTTGAGAAAAGTTGTTCAGGAGATTGAGCGCCGTATATCTACACAAGCAGAACACTTGAGAACTGTAATCTGTAATATGAGCATTTGTTTTTGACGAATTTTGTTGATCGCTATGCATTTATTTCATTATTTTCTTTCCTTCTGCAGCAAAACAATCTCTTCAAGGCTCGTGAGGAGAAATACCAGTCAAGAATCAGAGTACTCGAAGCCCTGGCAACTGGGACTAGTGAAGAGACACAGGTAGTATACATAAAATTGTATACAATTTCATATGGACAGATATCTCTGTTAATGTGTACTTGGTATAGTCCCATTAACCATATGTGATTTTTGTTTTTTCTTCTTTCTGAATTTCCAGAATGTTACGAACCAGCTTCAGCAGATGAAGGTATAATTTACACTCTGAATCTCTTTCCTCTTAGTTCTCATGTGTTATCTTACTTTTTCATTTTGTCTATTGATATCATACTTTTCACATTGGAAACTTGTTGGAATTTTTTTATATTATATGAATAATCTTGCCATTAACAACTTCTTTGTTGGCATTAAATAGAGGAGGGATAACACACGGTAAATCAAACTTAGCCTCATCTGAATCAAGGGGTTCAACAACTTATGGAATTTTTCCTTTCAACCATAACCACGGATTTTGTAGGGCACTGAAAAGATAGATGACTCAAACCATTGAAATTAAGGCATCTCGTCTTAGCATTTGGAGCATTACTCCCTTAAGAAGAAGAAGTAAGACTGGTTCAAGTTTGATTGGTCAGAACATTCTGGCTTGCATCCACTAAAGTTATTTCACTTCAAGTTGTATCCTTCACGGAGTATCTCATGAAGGTCTTATTTTTCAATTCATCTTGCATCTGGTAGGCATGTTGAAAGGCATCTATCATAGAGTAAATTTGAATTGCAGTTAAGGCATAAGAAATCTGTGTATTCAGTCGTTGCTTATCCATAGCGTTGATTACATTCTCATTCCACAGAAACTTTGAACTTTTGACCAAATTGTAGAAATTTCTATTATATTCCTCAATAGACAAACTAATATGCACAAAATATTGAATGATACTATTTTTCATGTCATCCCATAATCCGTTAGTTGCAAAGTGAGTTTGTTTGTACTTTATTCAGCAGTACCATCTAAAACAACTCTCTAGGTTGGGCAACCAATCAAGAACTATCTCTGGAGTCTCTCCCAGAAAATACCATCCTCAAGTTTAACACCTTCATTAATGTCAAACAACCTTGGATCTTCTCAAACTAGGGCTTATAGTTGAAGGGCTTGTTCAAACACATGTTGATGAGTGCTCACCGAAGAGGATGAATTGATATATGCATTCTTCTCAGTCCCTTCTTAGTTCTTACCTAGGAAAATGGCTATCAAGGCTGCACAGTTTCTAGTGGTGTCATGGATGCTTCGGGTATCCTGTCATTCGTGATCTTCTGCGCATATTCTTGGGATAGGAGCTGAAATGTGGCACTTAGTTCGGTGCCGGTGACTATCTTGATGGGTAGTGATCTAGAAATTTTCTTAAAGTTCCTGATTCTTCTGGAGCATGCCTTAAAATTTGGCCTTCCTTCTTTTGATGTTTTAGAGGGGCATTTTTCCTTAGTCTAGTGAAGTAGTGTCGCTAGAACAATTTGGTTTGTGATTCTTATGAATTTTGCATGCATAAACAAAACTTATCGCCCTAGTAATAATTGCAGCACTGCTCCTTTGGTGGTTAATCATCACTATGATGCATGGAGACCTTCCTGCGTTGTGTCTATTACTTGCTATAGTTGTCTTACTGATTGTTACTTTGTTATACTCCCTTCATACTATAATTGAAGTTTCTTGTCTCCAAGTTTTTCATATATTGCTGAGTACCCAATTTGATACTAAGGCCAAGATCCATTGGAGTAATAATGAAACTGAGTACATTGACTCTGAATTGCGTACCTATCTTAGAAAGAATGACATTCTTTGTGTTGCCATATAATTTGATGTGTTGGTGTGATCTCTAATATATTACCTTCACATGATACTTTCTCAATGTTCTTTCTTCTTTCCTTCCTCTTTTATTCAAATCCTGGAATAATCTAACAGCTCACAGGGAGTTTTATTTGCAATGCTAACTTTTTTTTTGGTTAATTTTTTCCCCTAGGCTGAAAAGACGACAATGGAAGAAAAAAAGAAAGTCGAGCAGGATGTGGTTAGACTGATGAAAGAAAAAGATGACCACTATCATGAAATTGCGGCACTGAAACAAGAGCTGGAAAGAGCTAGGAAAACATATGAACAGCAGTGCTTTCAGATGGAAACAGGAGCCAAGAGAGCTCAGCAAGATCTTGAGGAGAGGTTGAAGGAAGTAGTGCAGCTCCTAACAGAATCGAAGAGTAGGGTTAAAGAGCTTGAGGCATATTCCGAGACAAAATGTCAGCGGTGGAACAAGAAAGAGCACATCTCCCAAATATTTACGGAATTTCAGCTTGGTGCGCTGCGAGTATGCTTTGACTACTCTGTTCTTTTATGTTCACATTCTGAGGTTTATGGCATATGTTTAATTCGAATCTGTGGAGTTTTTCAGGAACTTAGGTTCAATTCTCAGTCAATTAGGCAAGAAATTTTGGAAACACGAAAGAGCTACTCGGAGGAATTCAATTGCTTAGGTTGGGTGTCCTGTTTACGACATGCTGCTTAATTTCAAGTTACATTTGATGACATGTTCTCATAAATTGACTTTACCTGTTTAGGGGTAAAGATTGAGGCACTAGAAAATGCATCAGAAAACTATTATGCAATCCTTTCTGAAAATCAGAAGCTGCATAATGAGCTTCAAGAATTAAAAGGTGCCACTTCTTCATGTACATTTCTAGTTCGTAAAAGATTATGTATTTGCTCATGTATTTTTCTGAACAGGAAATATTAGGGTGTATTGTCGAGTAAGGCCATTCCTTTCTGGACAAAAGGGAAGACAAACAATTGTAGAATATATTGGCGAAAATGGGGAGCTGGTTGTTGTGAATGCCTCCAAACAAGGAAAAGAGGGCCGTCGATCTTTCAAGTTTAATAAGGTCTATGGTCCAGCTGCAACTCAAGGTCTTAACCTTTATGTTCATATATATTTCTATCCTATCCTAAACAAGTTTTGATTATGCTATATTGTTTACAAGGTAAGAAATTTTTGGACAATGTTTTAAGAGCTTTCTGTAATTTGTTATTTTTTGTATTCTTCAATGGAAATAATTTTCATAAATCTCATTAAAGCATCCTTAAAGTGGTGGATTTTTCCATTATTTCCTTTTCCTAATATGCAAATGGTTTAAAGCATTGGCCAAAAACCAAGACGATTCGGTCAAGTCGTATGTGACTTGAAACCATCCGTTCTAATATCGTTTTATGTTTTGTGTCTCGGTTGAGTCATTCGAGACGTCTCCTAGTCAACACTGAATTGTCCGAGTTAGTATTACCAATTAGCCAAAACCATTTCGGGATGCTGCGATATGGCCCAACTTCTTCTTCAATATAGCATATCGTGCATATTGTTTGATACAGTTGTGCAACGCCATGACCAATGCGTCTCAGTGTTTTCCGAGTCATCAATGGTTATATAACGGCCTTGAAAAAAGTATAAACTAGCAACTCATATGCCCCAATAATATTCCACTATGCCTATATATACTTGTCAAACATATAAACACAGGTTTATTTATGCACCTAACATATATATTCGGATATAAATGTACCAAATTCAATTTTGTGCATGATGTGATGTATACAAGCTTCTAACCATATCACACAGGCATGGTTGATTAGGTGCTTATGTGAAAGAATAGTTAAACAACATTGATTACTACAACCAAACACCAGAATTAAAGGAAAATTGTTTTCTTCATATAAAGAAATTTTCAGTGGAAATATGTTGTGGCGTAAACATTTCGTGTCAAAACAAATTGACCAAGAATGGCTAATGGCATTTCTATTAACTATTGCTTTTCTTGAGTATGTTCTCATGTATGTACAATACTAGGACATCTAACTTCACTGAAATTTGAATGATGGCAGCGGAGGTATTCTTGGATACACAGCCCTTGATCCAGTCAGTTCTAGATGGATACAGTGTCTGTATATTTGCTTATGGTCAAACTGGTTCAGGCAAAACCTACACAATGGTACAAGCACTTGTTTTCGATAATCTTTTTGATATATCTTTATGATGTCACTAAGCATTGCTAAATAAAAGCCATGTATTTCTCTAGACTGGTCCTGATGGAGCATCTGAAGAGGAATGGGGGGTCAACTACCGAGCTCTGAATGACCTTTTCCGGATTTCTCAAATTAGAGAAAGCACCTACAAATATGAAATTAAAGTTCAAATAGTTGAAATATATAATGAACAAGTGCGTGATTTACTGTCATGTGATGGGCCTCAAAAGAGATATCCTTCTCTACTAAGTCATTTTTCATTAACATTACACAGACTGCACTCTTGGCTTAGTTACCTACTTTCGTGACATCTAGAGAGTTTGTCCCTATCTTACTTGACTTGTTTTTCATATCCCTTTTTTCTGGGCTGTGTTCATTTCAAGCTTTGATCTTTCGGCATTTTGCATTATCTTTCTTTCATTTTTCTTTTTTCAATTTTTTTACTTTTTTGTGTTGAAATTGAAATTTTCTCATTCTTCTGGGTTAAATGGAAAACAAGGTGTTCCATGTTTTTTCGGCGTTACAAGCTTTTGTTTTCCTTGATTTGCACACACTTGGGATTTTGTCTACCTCCCAAGCAAGTGGATTAGCTGTCCCTGATGCTACTATGCACCCTGTCACATCAACCTTTAATGTGCTGGAATTAATGGCAACTGGATTGAGGAATAGGGCACACGGTGCCACTGCTATGAATGAGAGAAGCAGTCGATCACACAGGTTCTTTCCACGAATTTAAAGATATTCTCACTAAATTACGTATTTGCTCGCTTTATGTTAAGGTTTTCTTTGGACTACATGTATACAGTGTTGTGACTATTCATGTTCATGGGACGGATACAAAGACCGGTGGTTCTTTACGCAGTAGTCTTCATTTGGTAGACCTTGCGGGAAGTGAAAGAGTAGACCGCTCAGAGGTAACTGGAGATAGACTAAAGGAAGCACAACACATAAACAAATCTTTATCTGCACTTGGAGATGTCATCTTTGCTTTGGCGCAAAAGAGTCCTCATATTCCCTACAGAAACAGCAAGCTTACTCAAATCCTTCAAAGTTCTCTAGGTACATCATAGTGAATTCATATTTGAGTGTTTTTATTTATCATTAAATTTCTTTTTTTGGTCTGATCTTCTTGTCTCTGTGAGCGCATTAGGGTAATTGTTAATGAAACACAGAAGAATTCCTAAGCCCATCAGGGTCATTGTTAATGAAACACAGAATAGTTTCTCTGGAACTTTATAGTATTAGAGCCCCATTTATTTAAGGGGCTTTTAATTATTTTTTTTCTTCTGACTGGGCTGTGGCAATCTGCCTAGACAATCGTCTAGTCTAACAGCACAATTGCTATTGCAGCTCATAATAATTCTAGTTTCTCTGGAACTGTACTTGGTATGAGAACCTCATTTTTCACTTTTTGTAATTCTGTTGTTCAGTGCCTCCATATCTTATTTGTCAAGTTATACTTGTTTTCTGCGGATATAATCAAACTTGGTTTTCTGTTGGTTGATTCTTGTTTTGATTCGATCAATTTTGTTTGTGCAATATTTATCCAGTAACAAAATCAATTTTGATTGTCTAATAGCCATTTTTCACGTGGCTGCCATCCTCGGCTCATGATTGTTGACAACTCTTTGTTTCGTTTTTTTTTTCCTTTTTTTGTGGATGATTTCTTGTTTCACTACCTAACGAATCAATCATGACTATGTTGGGTCTACGGTTTATTTTATTCCTTTTCTGATTTTAAGAATTTGCAATTAATGCACATAAATCGTTTGAAGCCCGCACACCACATCTTTTTTTCATTGGATGGAACCTATACTTATTTGGATGCATCTTGTTTATGAGGTTTCAGCAACCTACTTATTAATCAGAATGGTAGATATTCAATCTGCTGATTTTCTGATGGATGAATATGCTCTGTAAAACAAGAATTGCAATTACTTGACACTTGTATCGGCATAGGCATCAGAAATGAAAGAACTAGAGTTGATTATCTTTCAGCCTCAATGTCCAGAATCAATAGGTTTTGGCTATTTTGATTTGTGAATTCTAGTTCTGTCAAATTTGATTTTGAAGTGGGGAGTTAAAACGGGATTTGGATATTTTAGACTGTTGAGAATAAGTTGAGTCTGGTTTGGTATATGTAACACATGTTTCATATTGATGATAATCTTGTATTTTTTTTTTAGCAAACTTTTAAGATTGTTGTCACTTAAGTGCATGTTCTCTTACCTCTCTCTAGGGCTACAAATTCAATACAAGAAAAGTCTGCCTGCATAAAGTGTTTGTTCCTCATTTCATATCAGTAGTTCCTCTCCTTTAAAAACCTGCCTATCCAGCTATTCCCCCAAACCATTTTGGAGGCAGCGGGTTTAATGGTAGATGATGTGGAGAAAATCTGATTATTTGATAATAATATAATCTGTTTAATGGTTGATGACATGGAGAAAATCTGAATTATTGATAATAATATAATCCATTATCATTTATCACAAAGGCATGGATAATGTGAACACCAATGTTGAAATCATGCAAGGGACTGGTAACTATGTTGAATCAAGCAAGGGACCAAGATGGAGTTCCCTTGGTCAGATTATAAATTATAACTTTTGAATGAACATAATATGCCCTATTTTTGATACAGGTGGTCAAGCGAAGACACTAATGTTTGTGCAGCTCAATCCAGATATTGGTTCTTATACTGAGACTTTAAGTACCTTGAAGTTTGCTGAGAGGGTGTCTGGAGTTGAGCTGGGTGCTGCACGGAGCAGCAAAGACGGGAGAGATGTAAGGGAACTCATGGAACAGGTGCTCTCATAAAACATAAAAGCTCACAGTTTTCTGCAATTATTTCCCATATCTTTTCCAAAGAGTATGACGCATGCCCACGACAATGTTAACAAAGCTTACTCTGGTCCGTTAGGCTAAATAGTCTATAAAATCAGAAAAGACTTTTCCTTTGCCTTTTAGATCCGATATCTGGCCTTTCTGGGATCAGATATCTGGTCATCTTTTCCTTGCATAGCCCTTCAACTTGGAATGATTCCTAGCCAATATTACTGTGCCCCTAAATAGCCCTGATTTTGATTTCGCATAATAGTCCTACATCAAGCCTTCTAGAGATAGTGCCTCTAAGTTATTGAATAATAAAAATGAACAGCGGTAAGATGAATATGACATGGATTAGAAACAAATTGACTAACCACATGGACTACGTAAGACGGCCAACGAGTTAACGGTAATAAATTAGATCTGGAAGTCTCCCACCATCATCTCGCTTAAACTTGACATTCACTTCCATAGGAGTATCAACACATTTTTCATAGGCAAACTAGCAAATTTGATCAAGTCCATGGTCTATTTCTGTTGATTAATTGCATATCCATAAGAAGAGAAATGAACTTCTAAACCAAGAAGTACGTCAAGGGTTCTAAATCTTTCATCTTAAAGGATTGGCTAAGGAGCTTCTTTTAAGTGTCCAATACCTTCAAGATCGTCACTTGTGATAAGGATATCATCAATATATAATAAGAGAATCGTAACTCCATTCGAAGAGTTTTAGGTGAACAATGAGTAATCATAAGTACTTTTTATGTACCCCGTATCAAGAATGACCTCCTGAAACCGTTTAAATCACGCTCGTGGAGCTTGTTTTAAACCATATAATGATTTTTTCAATCTGTAAACCAGAGACTTATCATGAATATATCTAGGAGGAGGTTTCATGTAGACAGTGTCCTTCAAATGGGCATGGAGAAATGAAATTTTCATATCCATTTGAAAGATAGTCCATTGGCGAATAGTAGAGAGAGCTACAATTAGTCGAACAACAGTCATTTTAGTTACTAGAGTAAATGTTTCCTCATAATCAATTCCATACTCGCTTGTACCGTTGTGCAACAAGTCGTGCTTTATATCACTAGAGAAATATATGAGTCAAAAGGGATACTCAAACTAAGAGTAGAGCTCTGTATATATAGCCAAATAATAGTACAAGGTTACCTAAACATTCTTGTGGTCTAGGCAAAATATAAAAGTCATAGTAAGGGTAAAAAAGAAAAAAGAAACCCTAATAAACTAGACTATACTCCAAGACTTCCCCTCAAGTTAGGCGTAAAAATATCAACTAAGACAAGCTTGACAACCGAGTCCTAAAGAATGGATAGAGTGACAAGTTTGGTGAAAATATCTGCAACCTAATTACTAGTCCTCACAAACTATGGAGTGACAATACCTTAACTAACCTTCTCTTGAAGAAAGTGAACATCGATCTCTATATACTTCGTCTTCTCGTGAGTATAAAGTCAGAAGCGAGCTGAATAACAAATCGATTATCACAATATAATGTGGATGAAGAAGTCACTGAAAATTTTAACTCGCCAAGAATCGATTGTAACCAGATAATCTCACATGTGCCAAGTGCAAGTGCCCGATACTCTGCATCTACTGACGAGTGGGAAACAACTGCCTGCTTCTTGCTTTTCCAAGATATAAGATGAGTCCCTTGAAAAGCACAAAAGCTCGTAGTAGATCGACTGTCACACGTTCCCCTATAATCTGAATCTGAATAACAGGCTAGAAAACCAGTTTGAAATCTTGATGCATAGAACAATCCAAGTCTAGTACAAATCTTGAGTTACCGAAGAATATGATAAATTGTATCAAGATGAGGTTGACACGGGCTGTGCATGAACTGACTAACTTGACTAACAACGAATGAAATGTCTGGCCTAGTATTGGCTAAGTACATAAGTCTACCTATCAATCTCTGATAGACAATCAGATCTCTCAACTCCTCACATTCAGCAGTAAGCTTCAGGTTTGGAATCATGGGTGATGATGTAAGTTTGTACCCTAGCATCCCAGTGTCTGATAGAAGATCCATAACATACTTTCTCTGAGAAAGAACAATACCCCTACTGCTATGGGCAGACTTCAATCCCAAGAAAGTATCGCAGAAATCTAAGGTCCTTCATATCGAAGGTCTTTCCGAGGTCTACCTTAACCTGTGCAGTCCCAGAAACATCATCTCCAGTAATAATAATATCATTAATATATACCAAAAGTATAACACACTGTCTAGAAGTATTCCGTCGAATAAAGTAGGTATGATTAGAATGACATCTGGTGTGCCCCAAACGTACGACTACACTACTAAAGCGAGAGAACCAGGCTTGTAGTAATTGTTTCAGTCCATGAAGAGACTTATGCAGTCAATATATCATTCTAGCATACTCTCCTTCACCACGAAAGTCCGGTGGTGCATCCATATAAATAATCTCATCCAGATTACCATGAAGAAAGACATTCTTCACATCTAATTGATGAAAAGGCCAAGAGTACTCCACAACTAGAGAAATAATCAACCGAACAATAGTCAATTTTGTCATAGGGCAAAGGTAGCACCAAAATCACGATCTGGTACCTGAGTAAAGCCCTTCGCTGCAAGTCTAACTTTGTGACGATCAATAATACCATTCACAAGAAACTTCAGGGTGTAAATCCAGTGACAATTAACAGGCTTCATTCCTGAAGGTAAAGAAATAAGATTTGACGTATGATTATGCTGAAAAGCATCTATCTCTGTTTGCATGACAAGAACCCACTGAGGCTCTCGCATAGCCTCTGCAACAGAGCGAGGAATCGGCGTATCTAATAAGAGGTTATACTATAAGCTCAAAAATGTAAGCTCGAAATGTAAGAGATAGATCACTATAAAAAACAAAAGTAGAGATCGGATATAAAGTCCTAGCGGTACAACCATAACAAACAATTGAACGATGATCACGCCGCAGATAACGACGCCTTAAATTATTATCCTCCACTGATAATGTCTCATTAGGTAAAATAATTGGCTTAATACCTGCAATTGTATCAGTACTAACAACAGGTGCATCAATATGCCCAACGAACTGAGAAGTATTCCTTGCATTGCCTGAAGTAAAAGGAATATTAGCAGGGAGATAAGAGCGAGAGCGGTGAGCATAAACTTGTAAAGGAAGAGAGACTGGTGACTTTGTACTGACACAGACGAGTGACTCTGGAGGAGGAGAGACTGATGACTCTGTAGTGGCCAATGGCTCTGACTCCTGTGGTAACGAAAAATCAATGGGATTATCATCAACTGGAGGGACAGACACAAGACTAGAAGAAAAATAAGGAATATGCTCAAGAAAGGTAACATCTTGACTGTGATATATACGACGTCTGACAGGATCATAACACCAATACTCCTTAGACTAATGACAATAGCCCACAAAGACATAACAAATCATTTTATCATCAAGCTAATGGTGAGTAGGAGACCGATCCTGAATAAAACATGTGCAGCAGTTTGACTGCGAGGAGGCAGCTTAAGCTCTAGATGGAGCTTCCAACAAGCAGTCCTGAGATGTCCTAGTCGGCCACAATAATTACACTGACAAGAATTTTCTTGTCTGCGCTGATCTGGGGCACCTTGACGGCGCTGGTCTGAGCGCTTTCCACATCTGGTTGAGGATCTTGAATGAGATCCTATAGCAGCTACAAGGACCATTTGGTCAGTTGGAGGAGTCAAGACTGTAACCGGAAGTGATGCAATATAGACATGACGCTCATAGTTTTCAATCATTGCATACACCTCATAAAGAGACGGAAGTCTCATCATTGACAAGATACGTGAACGAGGTCCCTCAAACTTATCACGAAGCCCTATCCTCCTACTCTTGAGTATGCAGGAATGCCACTTCCTCGGATTCTATCCTCGAAATAGTAACAAGAGGACGCAAAGTCTCATACTCAAGCCAGCGCTGGGTCAAATAGCCATAATAATTTTGAACCATCATATCTCCCTACTGAGCATATGAGAGCTCCTGAGAAAGCTCATAAACATGAACTCTCTATTTTGACTGAGAATACATCTATGATGATGCGCTCTATAGCTTCGGAACAGAATTATGAAACTAGTGAATCTTGTAAACAGATGGCTCCATCGAGCCAAATAACTATCCAAGAATAACGCAGTTCTTAGAGAACCACGTAGAATATCTAGGGTCATCATCATCTGGCTTTGGATGAGATCCCGTCAGCCAACCAAGTTTCCCTACACGGCCCAAAAAAAGCTGGAATAAACGTGACTACTCAGCAAAGTTACGGCTATTCAACAACTGTGCCTTAACCTTCTGAGAGATCATACCCGGCATTATCGACAATGCAACAGTGCCAGTAGGTATTGTATACTGGTCAAACATAAAAGTGAGAGAAGCAAGCGGTACATTCCCGTTAGAAGTACTAACAACAGAGGTCTCAACGGTAGGAGTCTAAAGTCCCCCTCAGTAGTAGCCATTATCAACAATAATATGTGGGCACCCGTGACAAAAAATTTTAAAATAAATAGAGGGACAAAATAAGGGAGAAGAATATACCTTTAGTTGAAAGGTAGTAACAGATAAAGAAGGTCAGAAAACTCCCAAATAATCACGTCACGGTACCCAAAAATCTAGTAAATATATAAGTGATCTACTGCATTAAAGTAGATCAACGAAGAAGAGGATTCAACCCCTCTTAAAAAGGAAAAAAAAAAAAGGTAATGACGTGAAGAGATGGCGGCACTACGACGAAGATCGTGAAGTACGAAGGTGTGACAAATTGCTGGGTTGCTGTTTTGGGTTGTTGGGTTCCAGGGTTACTGTTTTGGGTTCCTAGGTTTTGTTCTAGACTGCGCTGTTTTGGGTTGCTAGGGTGCTGGACTGGGTTTTGGTTGGGTAGGTTTGTTGGTGGGTTTTGATATATGTGGGATATGTTGGTGGGTTTTGCTTGTGGGTTTTGTCGGTGCTTGAGTT